AAATGGAACTTATAATAAATATTGGTCTTTTAGTTGGTCAATTAGTTGAAAATGGCCATAAAAGATCAGAGTTAGAGGTTATAACAAAAATTTAAAACAATCCGGTTGATTTACTCGCAGATAAAACAGAAAATGATTGCACAAAAATAAAACTTCCATGGATTCCAAATCTAGGATCAAAATTAAGGAAAGAACTTAGTTAATGTTGTGTGAAAGTTATATTTACAAAACCACAAACTTTAAAAAGATTCTTATCTAATAACAATTCCAAAATTGTTTTTTGAGTGTGATTTACTTCACTGATATTTATTTTAATATTGACCATTGTTTTTAGTATTTTTTAAAAATAGTCTTCACCTTCTTCAAATAATCTTTATCTGATTACTTTTGTAAGCAGATAAATTGTTATTATTATTTTTACTGTTATCATTATCAATGGTTTTACATCACTCAAACTGATAATAAATCAAACTTTTGTTTGAGTGACATCATCCTTAACAGTCATTTCCAAATTACATTAACTATATGATCATTTATTTTCGTATTATTAATCTTGTTATTAATATTATTTTTATATATATTAATTTCTAATATAATGATAATTTTTTATTTTTTTTGAACGCTAAGAGATTATTGTATGAATATAAAATATTTTATCAACTTACTGCTCCCACGTTTGGAGCAGGTTAGCTAAAATTTTAAGGTTTTCATGTTTCCAGGTTTCAATCATTCTAATTTTTTGCAAAGCATCTCTATTTGATATAAGTATAAGCATATAAATATTTGGAGTTTGCAGCATGTTTAGAAGTTAGTTCAAATATAAAAAAAAATCCATCATCCGCGCTTTTATTAAAATAAATTATTTAATACAATTATTTAAATTATGCTCATATTGCCTTGCAAAGTACAGAAAAAAGAAAGTTGCAACCGCTGCCAGAAACGTGTAATCCATATAATAAATTTGTGGATCGCTTCTTTCACTCGAAACATTATTTTGTTTAAAAGAGAATTTTAAATATATATAAGCTAAATGTATTTATTGTTTTATGTATTTTATATATTTGGAGAAATGATTTTTCCCTATCTGAAGATTTTATTACTCTAAAATCTATCAATAAATACATTTTGAGAAATTTTAACTATTTAAATGAACCTTTTAGACTTTTATATATACTTATTTAGATTGATATTAAGTGTATTTTTACTTATTTTACTTGACAAATTCATTTAATCTTTTTTACACGTTCGAGGTTCTGGTGACATGATTTTTGGCATACCTTTATATTTGTTATATTACCTGTCATTGTAAATTTTTGAAATTCTATTGTTTGTTATATAAAAATTGTATAACGACAAATGTAAAAAAAAAAAAAGTTATAAATAACTGTTTTTTTTATCTGAATGACTTATGAATTGTTTATTAAAAATATTTGTTTGAGTGTAACATTTAACTATTTATTTTTCCTTTTTCTGCATCACCAGCCAATTTAAATTGGACCCTGTTTTAAAAAAATTTGGAATGAACATATAAAAACATTTTAGTTTTTTGAAAAAATATGTTTGATCATCTTTTTTTGTCATGTCAAATGTCATGATTTTTTTGTCATGTCAAATGTCATGATTTTTGATTGTTTAAAACTCATAGATTAAATGGATTCTAGAGTTTATTACTTTAGCAACCACTTTTAGTAACATTCCAAAAATTGGAAACAAACTATCAATAAAAGATTTATATCTGAACACCCTGCGATCAAGACAACTCTGATTCTAAATGGTTTGGATATAACACCTATAAAATACGCTTTCAAAGAAGACTGAATACTCAATTAGTTTGGATATAACACCTATACAATACGCTTTCAAAGGTGTTTCATGTTAGAAATGCTTTTCAAAGGAGTTTCATTTGTTAGAAAATCATTGGTTTTTGAAAAAGAAACCAATAATTTTCTAACAAATACTTATATTCAAAACTAAAGGACATTTTTTTAAAAAAAAGTCGCATTGTTTCAAGAAAAATCAGCAAGAGTTCGTCCATAAAGTACGTACACTCATAGGGAGTAGGTCTTCAAAAAGCGTACGAAAGATTATGGGGGGGTTCAATCTAATTTTACACAACTAACCAACTAGTCAATAGAATAGTTACAACTCTGACTAAAGATCCTAGTTAACCAACATAAAAAGATGTATTGTATAGGGAGTAGAAGGTATAGTTTCTCTCTATGCACACACATGCATGGACGCCTGCAGGATTTTTTGATGTTCCAGATAAACCACTTCCACACATTGTACTAACTCCAAACTTTTTTTTTTTAAGTTGATTAAGGTACCCCAAGAAGTCCTTACGGTCTTATCACAGAGCACCGCGGAAGTTATGTATGTTTATACCTACACCGCGGAACTTATGTATGTTTATACCTATGTCATTTGAAGAGGCTTTCCAAAAAATTGTTAATGGTAGTAATAAATAAAATAGCAAAAGGGCATAAAATTTGCTGCTCCCCCACAACACCCGACCTCCTCTAACTACGGGGAATGGGTAGCCTACACTCAGCACTGGATTTTAAGCTTTGTTTTCAATATTCTAGCGTGACTCGCTTTTTACGGACTTACTAAAGAAAGGTGCCTGAAAAAAACGTCTGCCTTAAATATAGGTTATTTTTATTTGATGCGTTTTATTAAACAAAAAAAGTAAAATAGGACTTAACTGGTAATTGCACTCGGGTCTCCACTGTCACTGCCCATAACATTATCCACTCGGCCTCACGAACTCTTCAACAATGCATGATTTAATTTTATTTAAATTTATATTTTTATATATTTAATAATGTTTTTTAAATTGGAATCTTTTGCCGCTAACAAAGGGCTTTGGGGTCGTATAAATACTTTATACGTTTTTCCCTCCCCGCCAATTTTTTTTTTTTTTAATTTAATAATTTATTGAAATAAAAAAGGTGGAGATATCCTAGATACTTTTATAGTAACTAGGGTATCTCCTCCACCTTTTTTTTAGGGGGGGGGGGGTATATGAAAAACATACGTACTTTTTAAGGGGGGTGGGGACTTAAAAGTATGCATGGCAACAGGGGGAGGCGGGGGTCAAGTTTCAGAATATTTGGCATACGTACTTTATGGACGACCCCCAGAGTGGCAAAACGAGACGGTGGAAAGAGAAGCTATAAGAAAGAAATATGGTGTAAGCTTTGGAGGAATGAATTGTTTGGCTAAGCGGAGAAAACGAGGCAAAAACAAAACCCGAAAAGTCGCAAAATAAAGAAAAGGAAAAAGAAAAGGGAAAAAAGAAGAACAATTTGATGATGCCACAGAGAGAACAAAATTCTTATTATTATGTGTAGGGTCGATGTTGACGACCTCGAAGAATATATCTTCTATATGTGCAATCTGCAATAATTAGTGTTGTTTGAAATGCTCATAGCTATACCCAGAATAGACCAATAAATCTGACTTTTCTTGCGGGCGATATGTTCTCCACTATCCTAGTAATGTCTCAACCCAACATCTAAGCAAATTTTTTAAACGCTTTTTTGTTCTTTCATTGTATATTATTTTTTAGTTACTCGTAATATCTATATATATATATATATATATATATATATATATATATATATATATATATATATATATATATATATATATATATATATATAATTTTGTTTTGGGGGAGGAGGGGGGTGCATGATCCTCTTTTAGAGGAGAAGAAAAACGAAGAGTTTTGTCCATTCTAGTTTTTTTGGGTTGAGTGATTTATAAAAAAGGATTTTTTATGTTTAAATTTTTTTTTTTTTTTAATATTAAATTTGTATCAAATAACATTTTTATAACAAGAAATTTATATTCTTATACTTAAAAATAAATTATCACCGCTTAAATAAATTATCGTCCCTTGAATAATTATTTTGCTACTATAAAGTTAGTAGTCAAATAGTTCGCCTATTGCCTTAATGATAGCAAGACAGCTTTTAAGCTTTGAATCTGCTATGTTTTTTAACCATTGCGGTGGTTAAAAAACTTATAACCTATAATTGAGACGAAGTGAATGGTTTTTGTTCAGCTACTTCAATTTTGAACTAATTATATAAATTTTCAATCGGATTAAGGTCTGATGATTTAGGAACCTAACCATACATCATAATACTGTTTTTTTTTTTTGAACCACTGAGTAGCTAACTTTAATTTGTATTATGGATCTCCATCCTGTTAAAATTGTGAGATAAGCCTGCTTTTCTAACGCTTAATCTAAACTTTTGTTTTATAATATCAGTATCTTTTGATATGATCGAGACAAAAATAATTTACATCAGAAGCTAATATTTTGATTCAAACAAGCTCCTACACTGGTATTTCTATTTAAAAGAGTACATGCATTACATCTGAGAAGTTTAAAGACAAGTTTGAGAGATAAAAATAAACTTGAGAGATAAAGACAAGATCGTTTGTACTTATTGTTAACCTTGAAAAAAAAACAATATTTGTTTCCAGAACAAAAAACAATATTCAATTAAATAAAATCATTTATTAATATCACAATCTTTCAATAAATAAAAAGTCTAATTTTAGATAATTAAAAATTTTCAATAAATTTTTGTTAAAAAAACACCAAATTTTTAAAAAGGCGTATACTCTAATGTGTGCATAAACAAGACATATAATTTTATGTATGTATAAACTCTAATATAACATATTATATATTTATAACATATACTCTACATAATTTGATAAGATACAAATAATAATTTAGTATATACAACTTCATTATAACCATCTATTTAAAAAACTTTAATATACAATGTATATTAAGGTTATATATATATATATATATATATATATATATATATATATATATATATATATATATATATATATATATATATATATATATATATATATATATATATATATATATATATATATATATATATATATAATTCAATAAATAAAAATACTATTAAATCTATTAAAATTTTCTTGGTTTAAAAAAAATAATTAAAAAACACCTATTAAAAATTAGTAATAAAAAAACAAATAAATTTAATCAAAAGCCCCAAATAAATATGAAACCAATTTATTGATTTTAAGAACCATTTTCAAAACACGATATCAAATTATCATTCAAATAACAAAATAATGTAAAAAATAAAGCAGAAACAGCTCGCTAGTATAGTATTAGTGTTCTATTACAAAGAATTAATGCAGAAATAAAAATGGCGTTTGGATTAGCAACCTTTAGCAAGTTTAAATAGCTTTGAACAGCATTGTATGTATGCATCTCTCTCTTCGCGTAAAGCTTCAATCAAAACCTCTTGTTGTTTCACTATTTTACGCATCCGCAGCTGATCTAACTCCAGTTCTTGTATGCGGATCTCTAAATGATTAGGCTGCCTGGATACGCATTTAATACAGACGTTATTTAAAGATTCCGAATGAACAGCAGAGTATGCTTCGCGAAAAGAGACAGATCTTATATTTCGATGAAAACTTTCTTTTTCAGCTTCAATAGGAATGAAATCACCATCTAACTCTTCTTGGAGCCATACTGGAACCTTGTCTTCATTAGAATCATCGAAATCTTTGTCTTTATCAATAATTGCCTTTTGGGGATCTATGGAGCTTTTTTCATCTTCATTAAAAACAAATCCGAAACTATCTGTTGTATTTAAATTTCTGTCTTTGGAAAAACTTGATTTTCGATTTACCTCGGCTTTTTTTTCATCTGTTATACTAAGAGACTTAGTTTGTATTAATTTTGAATTAAGAACCCGCTCCGCTAAAATAATTGTACTCCATGATCGAGCTGCCATACTAACAACTTTATGTAAAGATCCAAAAATCGGTTTTGGTGAACA